GGGGGCCACACCGCGCAGTTCGTCCAATCCCGCCCTAATACATGGCAAACGGCTGCCAATCGGGGGCCGTTTGGGTCCGTCGTCATTATTTAAGCATCAGAGAGCTGTTCCGGTAGTCTGACCTGCGATAATCCGGGCTGATCACAGCAGCTGTAAGGAACTTCGTCACGTTTGCATTCTGGTTAGTGGGTGCCCGTCTCGGACATGGCGTAAACACTCTCAGCATTCCCGTGCTCCATCCGGGAAACTGGAATTCTGGAACGTTCTAGGGAGAGATCCGTCTCTGTACCTGGCTCTGGACTAATCGGTCCGATGCAGCCAGCAGACTAGCCCTCCCATCCTGATGCAGCCAGCAGACTAACCCCCCCCCCCCCCCCCCCCCTTGGTCTTGGTGGCTGGACGGACCCCAGGTTGGGCACCGGGCAGAAGGGCTGATTCAGCCTCTCGGGGGTCCAGGGAAGGAACGGCGGGTGGGGTGTCATAATGGGTTTACTGGTGGAATTGGATAGGCCTGACTCAGTTTTAAGGGCAATTTTATATGTGTTTTTTCCATCCATTCCCCACAGCTGCACACACACATACACTAAGACACACGCACACACATACTAACAGACACATACACATCAGGTGGGATTTTTCCTAATAGTGAATGAAACCCTTAAAATTTCATGCTTCATTGTCACATGTCTTCCAGGGAACACAGTGAAATTCTAGTGTCACAGCTACAAGGGGGGGTCCGGTGCTTGGGGGGACAATTTGACCAGCAGCAGTGCTGTAAAGGGCAGAAGGTTCCAGCATGCTGTGTACTTTTTCCACTTCTTCTTCCATTTCTCCTGGAAGTGACTGTCCCTGTTCTGCCATTCGGATTCCGGGTCGTCAGCCCTTGCGATGTTTCTCTAGTCTCCAGCACCCCACCCCCCCCACACAGCACCTGTGCGCATCACACCCGCCTAAGATAGAGCGTGAAACGGCTGTCATTTCTTTGTAACAGTCGGATAGCGTTGCCTGACGCCCCGCGGCCTGCCTGCCGCTCCCAGATGCCGTGCGGGTATTGATACGAAGCGGATTAATGTTAAGTAACAGTAGAAAAAGTCAACGTTTCTGGAAAACGCTGCTGTGGTGCTGACTGCTAAGAATATTTATTGGCACTGGACCAGTTTGTCTGGCACTCCTGCATGGTGACTCCCAGTCAATCAGGAAAGCCGTGGCGTGGTCACATGGTGTGTGTAAATCTCGTGGTCACATGGTGTGTGTAAATCGCGTGGTCACATGGTGTGTGTAAATCGCGTGGTCACATGGTGTGTGTAAATCGCGTGGTCACATGGTGTGTACATGTTACCATGCTGGAGACCAAGCCGGAGGTCAGAAGCCATGGTGTACGGAGCCTCAGCCCCCTGCCCATGGCCCTGCTGCCGTGCTGTCCAGCGCTGGGGCTGTTTAACCCCAGTATGGTGTGTGGTCATTAGCTAAACACTCAGCATGCCCGTCTATCATGCCACCCCAGACCGATCTCTGCTATGTTTCCTGTGAGAATGGTCGCGGTGGCTAGCAGATGCTAGCGTCCTGGCTTCAGCCTCCCCCAGGCCTGACTCGCTCTCTCTCTCCCCCCCAGGGGCCCCTTCAGCGTGGTACGAAGATGCATCAACAGAGAAACGGGGCAGCAGTTCGCCGTCAAGATCGTGGACGTGGCCAAGTTCACCTCCAGCCCGGGGCTGAGCACGGAGGGTGAGAGCCGCGCCTCGCTGCTGCCGCACTGCGTGTCTTTCTACCCCAGGCAGAGCTGCGCCGAGACCGGCGGCAGCTGCCCGAATGGCAGACAGGAGGCGCTGCACTGCTCCCGGCATCGCTAGGCAGCAGCGCAGGACAGACACGGATTGCTGCTCACTGGCCGTGCAGTGTTTCATCTGTGCACGCTCACAGGACACGGAAAATGTGACTCGGAGTTCACTACGTCACTCTGTGGTGAAGCAAAGGCAGTAGCCTGGCCCCTAATGGCCGCTGACTGTAATTACACTTTTACGTATCCAAGTTCCTGAAAACGCCCACACTCATCTAAATGTGATAGGATGTTGTCACGGTGCCATTAGAAATGATTTGGGGGGGGGGACATAAGCATTGAGTTAATTAGGGTAATCACTTTAATTATTAGCTATTTTAGCGATGACTTATAGCACCCTGCGTTTGGGTGGCTCCTTCCCTGCTCACTGCACACAGACGCGGTCGTCATGGCTGTGAAGCAGCTTAACTGTCTGTCACTCACGCTTCAGGCTGCCTGACCTCCTTGTCGCTCCCTGGGAAGCTCCTCCACGCTGCTTCCTCTTACAGCAGCCATCGTCTTCCATTCCACAGAGATCTTTGTTCTCGTCACCCAAGCTGCTCCTCCAGCCTGAGACAGTGTGGTTGTTTTCTGTATGGTGTTTGTGTGCATGTTGTGTGTGTGTGTGTGTGTGGGGGGGGGGCATATGCAGGGGCTCATTTATATTTATATATATATATATATATATATATATATAAAAACATGGACCCCCGGCAGATTTAGGCCTCATTTCCACATACCCGTTAGCCCCCCCATCCTCCCATGATGTTTCTGTGAATCACTTCAGCAATCTTTCCTCTCCCGTCACCATTCCAGTTGCCCAGCAGGCTCTTCTCCTTGGTTATCTGGTCGTCAGGCTCCCACAGTGAATGCTAACTAAAAGCGCGATCCAGCCCCCACTGGCCATCAGCCCCAGGCTCCACTGAGGGCCTAAACACTGTTAACCTGGTCAGAAGCGACCTCCCCTCCCTCAGCGTCCCGTCGCCGGGCTACTGGGCCAAGCGCTTTACAATAATTATAAATCTGCAAGGTGCTGAGGTCACGTTCTCATGGTGAAAAATATCTCATGGTGAAAAAGATGTCCCCAAAAGTCAGGAAGTTTCAGGTTTTACTGCACTTTGGACACACACACACACACACACACACACAGAGCAAAAGACACATGCATGCAGATAGCCAAACTGACACAGTCACACAGCCATATACACGTTTGGTTGCCACATGATAGTTAAACATACAGACTAATGGCATCCAAGCCCGGACACACTAACATTCCCCCCCCCCAGAACACCTATGCTGTGTTTATCGTGCTCCTACAGTGAAATGCTGGAATGCAGCAAAACACAAAAAGCACTGGCCCGTCAGCACGTACACGCCTTCATTGGCCCGTGGAGAGCGAAACGGTCACCTTCACCTTCTTGCTCGATCCCTCGGTGTTGTGATGCTGTCGTGGCGTCCAGGCCTGTTAAAGTCAGTGTGCAGGCGTTACTTCATACCGTGAGGAATCATAGCGCAAGCAGTCAGGCAAGATCGGAGCCTCGTATCCGTTGAGGAGGTCGGCGTTTATCAAACTCCACGACTCCATCAGGCCTTTGGAGAGGGATGCCTGTTGCCATGGTAACGGGAGGAGGCAGAACGGATGGGCAGAGCATTGCTCGAGGACCATCTGAGTTCAAAGTGCACGCGGCCCCCCCGTTCCTGCTCTCAGTCTCTCTCCGGTCCGCTTCTATGCATCCCTGTAATGGCTGCCTGTGTCCGTGTGACTTCTCCTCTGTTGTACTTCTGCACTGGCTTTCGCGTGGCGATCGGGTGATTGACAGCGCAGCTCTTGGCCTGCTTCAGAGAGACGTGACGCCGCCCTCAGGCGCTTTCGGCCCCCAGCAGCTCCCAGGCTGCCGTTGGATGTGTTTTCTCGGTGAGAGAACGGCAAGCGAGCGCCTCGCCAGTTTATTATCTTACCGTTGCTGTGCGGGAAAGGTCAGCCAGTTCCTTGTAAATCACGCTTCCCCGCAGGGCCCCCAAAGAATCACTCTGCTCCGTTTGGCTATTTGGCAGCTCGAGGGCAACACGCAGGACCAGACAGAACAGCCCGCTGGCGCTCCTGTGCTCAGTGAAGGATGACCCATGTGTCATGTTTGAGATTTCATTTTTATTTAAATACCTCCGATGCCAGACATTCTCACGCATTCTCCTGTATACATAAGAAATGTCATCGTTAGTCGATTTGCTCCTTTGCTGCCTTACAATGCAGTTGTCTTAGAACCAGCCGGTGACGTGCTGGTTAAGAATGCAGTTTTCCTCTCGTTGTACCTGGGTTTTTGCAGCAGGCTGCTGTGGTCATGCTTTTCTTCGCCTGGATTTGAGTCAGAGTAAGAATCTCTGCCTGAGACTTTGTTCCTGATGTTTGTCCCGCACTCGGCTACGCCGTACCGTGCAGGGGAAAGAGGCCGCGGGCACCCTGCTTAAAGAGCCCCGTGCCTCAAAAGAATCGACCTGATCCAATTCGACTGGGCGAAGAGGGTCCCACCGTGCATCCCTTCTTTTGCAGAGAAGGGGGGGGTCGTCTTCGGACAGCCCTCAAGCAGTTTTAGATCGTTTTGATGAACAGACCCCTATCGGGAGGGGGGGATTTTCTTGTCGTCATGCAAAGTGAAGCCCCCCCCCCTCCACATTGAATGACCATTTCAGCCACCCTCTGCATAGCATTAAGCAGGGTGCCACTTTCACTACAGAGCAACACTCTGGCTGAGTTATTTTCCTGTCCTTTTCCCTCTATTAATATTTCATGCAGATTTGTATTTAAACCATTTGAATAGTAAATAATATTTCTTGTACATGAATAATACATGGATACTAGGAGTGTAACGGTACACGTATTCACACTGGGAATTTTTGGCGTGGGTCATTCGGTTTGGTACGCAGGCGTACCGAGCGAATGCGGCAAAAACGGAACCTTGTGTGTTTCCACCGAGCGACATTCGGAAAGGGGCAGATGAGGCCGCACCAGTACACACGCGCATAGTTATGGGCAACACAGATAAACCAGTATCTGAAGGTGCAGGTAATTTTCTAAAAGTGCACCTTAATGGATATTTATTTCTATTTACTTTTAAGTAATTTTACTGCAGCAGTACTGATAGGCGCTTTTTTTAATTTAAGAAAGTAAAGAAAAGAAAGAAGTGATTTATGTTTTGTGTCTTTTACCCCCACTGTGTCACCGAACTGTGACTTTACTGAACCGTGATTTTTGTGTCCCGTTACACCCCAAATAAATACATTTTAATAGGAATTTGTCACTCATTTTTCGTTTTGGTGTCTTACTGAAGCATTGTACTTGTGCTGAGTACAGTTTGACCATGTAATTCCCTCTCCTCTCGTCTTTCCACCCCTTCTGTCAGTGTGGTCAGTAATTCAGTTTGCTGTCATTCTGTAATGAAATAATTACCTGTATTAGTGGCTCAGTAAGATTTGCAATGTTTTAGTGGCAACACAGCTGTGAAAACCTAGCAGTAGGAGGTGTGTTTTAGGTAAAGACGCTGATGTGAGTGGAGTGATTCACTGTGCTGTTGTTTATGTGTGTGTGTGGGGGGGGGGGGCCTCTCGGCCTGCTGGCGTCCCGCCCCCTTCTCCTGGCTATGATTTGCTCATCCCATGGCATTCCCAGGAAGTCACCAGCTTCAGGGCACCTTCCTGGACTCACCGGGGACGGTGACAGATACCGGGGGTTTCTCTGTGCTGTGATTCGCTGTCGTTACCTGGGCCCAGGCAAAGATGGCCACAATGGGTCCAGCTCTGTCCCCTGGAGAGATTGTAAGCTGGGTCTCTGCTTGTTTGAATGTTTTCTGGGCCTTATTCTCTGCAGAGTCCTGGAATTAGTCTGACGTCTGCACAGGAATCAAAGGGTCGAAGTCGTGCCCTTGAATGGCAGCTGCTGGCGAGAATGTGCTCTCGCCAGTCCAGAATGGTGTCCGATGCCATGGGAGGGTCTTTTTAGCATCACTCGAGGTCTTGGCCTTATGGTGTCCGATGCCATGGGAGGGTCTTTTTAGCATCACTCGAGGTCTTGGCCATTTTCATGGGCTGCTTCACCTCGGTATTACCGCTGTTTTATTACAAAGTCAGGATGGTGTTTTTAGATTTAAGTATGAATGGGATGATTATGTACTGGGGATGAATCAGCTACTGAAACATAAGCTTGGAATCATTCTCCATTAGAGTACTGACCCCTGCAGGACACTGGCAGTAATGCGCAGGGCCGGTCTCCTCTCTCCTTCTCTCCTTTCTCCTATGAATCTGCCGTTTTGCCTCAGTGGAGCTGGCACATGAGGTGGGGGGGGGCTGATGTCTGGGCCAGCACCGGGGGTGGGGGGGTATTCTGAATGAATTGGCTACGATTAGCTCTGGCTTGTTCTTCAGGCAAATCCTGCAGTGCTGATTGGTTCAGTGTGGTGGGCGGGACACGAATCCTGCAGTGCTGATTGGTTCAGTGTGGTGGGCGGGACACGTCTTAACAGGAAGTGAAAATCTGGCTCTTGGAGAAGCGCCGCATGTTGACGTGACATTTCCAGTGAGACGCGGCTACACCTGTGGGCGCTCTCACATTTATCCTCACTTCCTCGTCAGTCCACACCCCCCTGTACTGAATTAGAAGCTGGAAGATGAATGGATGAGTGGATGGATGTGGATCTGGAGCCTGCTCAGCCGAGTCCTTCTGGGGAGCCAGTGAGCGGCTCCCAGTGACTGATCTTGTGCGGCATCAGCTGAGGCATCCAGACAGACGTCACGATGGGCTCCCTGCTAGGTTTGCCACTTTAAATCCACTGTCACTCCAACGATTAATTTTCCCTGGCCAGGGGGGTGGGGGGAATCCCCTGCTATAAAATGTAATTAAATGAATGATCCTTGATTT